TGCTTGGGCAAAGGCATTATTTCTATTGTTCGAAAATGAAATTATCCCACCAGGAGCCCTGCCGCTGCCAGGCCCATCCCGCTTCCGGGAGTATATATTGCTATTTCAGACAAAAATGGGTCGCGAAAGGTGGTATACTGAGATCGGGTAGGCGTGGCCGCATGTTTCAACCTGAAGGTGTCTATGCTTCTGGTGAGATATTTTCATCTTGACACAATTGTTGTCGTGTCTCTGTCCAACACAGAACAAGATGACAGTTGTCCCAGACTGGAATATTCCACGAGTAACCAGTTCCGTGCCATGTTCAAATGCCACGCCTACTCTGGCTCAGGGATAAGGAGTGTACATCGTATCCCGCTTAATGTCTAGAAGTTAAATCTGGAGCTGACGGCTGCTCTGGCGTGCCAAACCATTCAATCTTCGAGGTCAACCACTGCGTTTGAAGTTCTAGGAGGAGAGGATAAAAACGCTGATTTCTACATGGGCGGTCCAGCAGTTTACTGTATAGGCCATGACGCTCCTCGAAAACGTATTGCTGTAAGCGTGTAAACTTCATTACCCGATTTCATTATTTCCCATGTCCAGACGGGGTGTCGATTGGGCCAGTAGGTGAATGTGTAGAAGTCGGCCCTAGTGGCGTTTGATAGATCAAGTTTTAATAGTCCTCTGCAGTAGCAGTACCGCATCCTTTCTCGAGAAGTCGATTTCATTCCTAACGTCGTGCCGGTTACGGTGTCATACAGTCAATCTCGTAGTGCTTTGTTGACCTTCGCGGCTTAGTCAGTGGACTGAAAGGTCTTTTTGAAAAGACAGCCACCTTTCTGAAGAGTTTTGAGCATGGTCAACGAGAACGTTTCATTTCCTTTTCAGCCATTAACCCTACTCGACAAAGCTATCATTCCCAGCACATGAGCGTGTTGTAGGGTCGTAATTGTCGTGAACCTGTCACGTATCGTGACGTAATTGGTGGTCTAAGAGACAGTGAAAGTGTCATGTCTCATGGTGGCCACTAAATCACTCGTCATCCTGGCGACGTCCACTAATACGATTATCCCCATGACGGATAGACACGTTTTTCTGGCTCGATTCCGAGGTTAAGCTCTGCCGATTACTCTGGGTCACTGACTCAAACTACTCTCCGGCAAATTCGGAGCAACTTTCCAGTTGCCCATACCCCACCTCTTTCCTTCCTCGTAAAACATCATAACTCTCTGGAACACCTATTACGATGGTCATAAATGCACTGATATACTTTTATGGCTATTGTTGAACGATTACCGTGCACCATCTGCCAATGTTGCGCAACATGGAATGTATCCATTCCGAAAGTCCTTCTCAGGATTAGGGAAAACCCGGTCACCTTTGTTCCGAAGAATTGATATGGGTTTAAT